TATAATCATAACGGTGGCCAATTTACCATTTCAACTTTGTTGATATATTCAGATGACAAGAAAGCTTGTCTCAATACCTAGAGCAAAGGAGCTTGGATCGAAGTAAATTTGCGTGGAAAAAGCGCGAGAAAAGTCGGAAATGTCGAAAACTTTGAAGGGGGGAATACTGATGAAATTTACTTTCTTTTTTGCAAATGCAGTCGAGAAACAAAATTTAGAGCCCATTAAACAGCCACCTGGAACAAATTTTAAATAACAATAAGCTTGTGAAAAAAAAAATTCACAAGCGCGGGGGCATGAAAGAAAGGTCCCATCTGGATATTCATCCTAAAAAAGCTCCATATTTTGTATATAGTAAGCACTTGACAAAATTCACACGTGGAAGTTCTCTGCTAAAGGCAGTCTTTTCGCATGGATAAAAGACATATATCAAAATTAAAGAGGAGTCCTTAAGTAAAGGAAGAGAAAAACAGGCCCAAAGAAGAGGCAAATGGAAACAATTTTGTCAGGAGAGAAAGAGTCCTGGCATTCCTCTCCACGCCGGCATCCAAATTGCGAACAAAGAGCTGGCACCATCAACATTTGTCGTTCAGAGGTTTAAGAAAGAAGTTTCCTTTCACTTAGCAAGTACCGCCCTTGATACAAAAACATAAGCAATCACTTCGAATGGTATGAAATTACGAATAAACCTTCCCGAGGGAACTCATTTCAACAGAGCGAGATAAAAAAAATAAATAAAAAAAACGTGACTGCTGTGCGCTACTTTTCCTGGGAAAAATTTGATTCATTGTCATTGACGCTAGGAGGTCCACTCTTCCCATTAGTTCGCGGTTTTAGGGGGCGACATAATCTCTTGGTGTGGCGCTAATTGTTTACAAACCTTCAGGAGCTGAAATCTCGCATTTGGTCTCAAGCATTCTTCCCGGCAATGAAAAAATATCACGGACAAAACTGTAGAGTCGTTCACTTACAGCCCCAGGGGCTAAATAGCTTTCCCTTTGTATTTCCTAACGATGCCGTTTCTGCGGTACAACAGAAGAACTAGGCTAAATTCCCCACAGATTGAGGGCCATTCTAGTACAACATTATTTCCTTTTATATCTTTGTGGAGGTATTATTTAGAATGCACGTGGTCTAAAGCACTACATGTCTTTTGAAATATAGAAATACAGTTTGCTTTAGTAACTACGTTGTTATCGGCCGCTTGATGGAGAGTTAACACTTTCTTGCTGAACACCATGAGTCACAAGGCATAATGGTGAGGCCTTTTGTAACAAAACCAAAAATCATGGGAAGATTTGGATGGTCCCCAAAGCAGAAGCAACCTTTGTCGTAATGTAAATCTATCCTTGCTCGTTCTTTATCCTCTGACGTTTCATTGTGAGTCATTTGCTTGACAATAACCTCGATGCTTCGATAGCGGCCGAGAAAACACTGTCCAAAGCTTCCACTGTTAACTGGATTTTTAGAAAAGTGTTCAATCATGATGTTCTCTGGCCTAAGTTCTTAGGGTTCAAATTTGGATCCATTACTCGCCGCGGTTTTTTCGCAATTAAAAACGTTTGATGACGTTTCTCGAGACAATTGCTTCCACACCAACAGCCATTTGAATCCTCTTTAAGTTAGCAGCTCTTGAGCAACCGCCCAAGTCCACTTTCTTCCCTCTACTGCCTACTTTAAGCGCAAGGAAACGGGGTTTCTCGACATTTTCTGGCTCAAGATATTGGTGGAAGGACGTGGCTTCTTCAATTCCTTGGCCTCAGAAGTACATGGCACCAAGTCATTTGCTTCGCGGTTGAATGATTTTTAGTTCAATATTTTTATTCGTTGAATTCGACATTCGCTTCTCTTGTTTCCTCTTTCTCCATTCTTTTCTCTGTCTGTTTTTTTCTACTGGATTGTTTATTCATATTTTGATAACTCGCTCTTTTCGTTTTTCTTTATCTTTAAAATCCTTCACAACTTCCGACATAATTATGTAGCCAACTGATCTATTTTCGAAATACAAATGAGCTGTTAATGTGCAGGAAATTCAATCCTCGTTTTAATGAACTTGATGACATGTGCAAGCCGTAGTTGTTCCACAATCGTTTCTGGTTTGCTTTCATTATGTGACATTCTTCTGTCCGAAGTGCGTCGGGAAAAACACCTCGTAAGGAACATACGTGACAACACCCGCCGCGCCTCGACTAACGCTGAAAAAGCTCCATACAATTCCTTCTAATGAAATTTGAAGAAATTGTGTGGAGCTCTCCGGGATACTTACAGTGCAAGCCATTTGTGTCTTCTCATGGTTGCGAAAGTTCCAAATCTTTCGTCTAACCCCATTTAAGCAGACATATTAGGGAATTTAAGCAAACCACGACGGCGACGGCAACGAGAAAGTGGAAAAACAATAGATCTAATTGGCAGAACAATAGCCCAGCACGTGCGTTTTAAAACTTTGTACATTTCTTAGCCGTCCTTTGCAAAACAACAACGTGAAATCCCCAAAATTTGCGTAGTCTGTGAACCGAAACCGAGGCGGCAAATTATTTTAATTTACATTTGGAACTCATCGCTACTTTTATGCGTTATGTTGAGTTTGAGGTCTGGCGCCCTATGAGATGGTAAACACATGCAGCCATTTTCGAAATTCTAACTAAAAGTAGAAACTTATTTTTTAATCGACGTCTTCCGTGGCGTTGCCCTCCTGACTGCTTAAGTTCCCTATTTTGATGGCGGCGGTAACTTGTAAGTCATCCTACTAAAAGTTCCTCATTCTTTGGCCACCAAAAACTTTTCAAAAACTCTACTCTATGTACATTTGGTGAATCATTTTGCTCCATTTAGAGGATGGTGGGAGTAAGGAGATTTAGAAGGTTCGAAGGTGGGTAAAAAAAACAACAACAACAACAAAACAAAACAAAAAAAACAAAGCTATAACGAATGAAGTAAAATGTTTCAACTTTGACCAGGCATAAGGTTACAGCATCGTCTTCTAAAGTTACAAAAATCGAGAGAAGTTTTAAAAAAGCATAGCACTGCTTCTAGTCTACCCGTGTGCGTGCTATTTCAGGGATATTCGAAATAAAATAATTTCACTTTGAGTTGGATGCAGGAAGGGGTAAAATCAATTAGTGTCTAGGATCTCTAAGTCTCGATGTTTTAAATAATCTTTTGTGTTATACGTAACATATATTGTCATGTGCAGGCTCAGAGAGAAATTTATGTTATAGTTTGAGAGAAAATAAATTATTTCAAAACTGAGCTGTTTTGGTATCACTGGGGCAATTGACAAATTGGGACAGCAACGGGTGGCTTGAGTATTGGGACATCCGATGAAAAATGACGGATTTGTGAGGAGACTGTTTCTAATTCATTATCTCTGCTGCTGATTCCATTTAATCATCTAACTCTGCACGACATAAGAAGTTGTTCACGAAAGCCGCGGTTTTTGTCATTGTCGAAAATTAAAGCAAGGTCTGGCTTTCCGGATAATTATGAAAGTTTTAAAGTTTTTTTTATATATATCTTTGTTAATTGTCAACATCACAAAACGAAAGAGCTGTATTCACTCGGGAAATGTTCCAAAATACTAGTTGTAAGCGACCGAAAATGGACGGAAACCTGGAGAGAAGCGTCCGAAATCGGTCGGAAGTTCTCGGAACTAGGACTGAAGCGTCCGAAATTGGTTTGCACTGTGTGAGATCGGACTTGACCCGTCTTACCGTGCACTGCCAATTTTAATCATTTCAAGGTCGTGCGGTCTATTTGAGAAATACGGCCGTTGATTATATGCAGAAATAAATTTGACGAAGTAAGGAAACTGGTCTCGTTTTCTCTTCGAAAACCGGTTTCGGATTGCGCGTCTCAATTTTGTGGCCGCTCAGCATAAGACGTTGTTTACGTAGTACCTTTTGAAACGATTGAAATTTCCTTTTCCCAGTATACGAAGGGTACTGGCTTATACTATTTTGCGAAACGAAACGAAACGAAACGAAA